TCTTCTTCAGCTGCTAACACTAGTTGTGGTCTGCCTCTCAAAATGCTACGGAAGACCCCGATCTACACCTGTGGGACATACCTGGTGATGCTAATCCCACCTCCGGGAGGCTCCGGCAGTTCTGCCACCCGGTCTCTCTTCGGGGGAAGCAGCGGTTTGTCATCCTTGAAAAGTAAGTTCTCGCCTCTCTCCTGGCCTTGGGGGAGGGAGGGGAAGAGCCTGGGGCAGCTTTGTTGACTCCGGCCCTTTTCCACGGAAGTTGGAGAGGCCGCTTTGGCTGTTCCAGGCGGTTGTTTTAGCCCCCGAAGGTTGAGCTTTGGCTCCTCCCGAGGCGCAGTTTGTTCTTAGAATTACGTGAGCTCGGGAAGGATTGACGGCAGACCCCTTCTTTAAAGTCCTAGCCTCCAGCCTGGTGTACAATCTGTCAGATGGGCAGTTTGCAAGCCGAGCAGACCTCATCGATGCCGCTGGGAGCTCCCTTGGACGCGGGGCCCTTGTCCCTGGCCTAGGTAAGCCCCCAAGGTCTGCCCTAGATGCAGGCTGCCACCGGGATGTTCCGAACGAAACTCCACAGTGTGGCTTTCTCTAGCCATCATTAAGTAGCTGAGCTTTTGACAGAACTGCAAATTTCTTCAGAGCGAATAACTCCTGAACAGTTAAAAAAAACCCACCAACATTCTGCTGTTGGTGGGAATGGATGCAGAGAAAGAAGACAAATTTATCACCAGGGTGTGTGTGTGTGTGTGTGTGGACATGCACAGCAGAGTCACAGAACTGGAAGGGGGCTTGCGGGGGTCATCCAGTCCAACCTCAGGGGACCCCCCACACCATCTCAGATAAATGGTTGTCCAGTCTCTTCTTGAGCCTCGTGGTGCAGTGGTCAGAGTACAGTACTGCAAGCTACTTCTGCCTGCCTGCCGGCTGCCTGCAATTTGGCAGTTCGAATCTCACTAGGCTCCAGGTTGACTCAGCCTCCCATCCTTCTGAGGTGGGTAAAATGAGGAGCCAGATTGTTGTGGGGCAAGAGTCTGACTCTGTAAACCGCTAAGAGAGAGCTGTAAAACACTGTAAAGCGGTATATAAGTCCAAGCGCTATTGCTGTTCTTAAAGACTTCCAGGGTTGGAGCATCCCTAAGCTCCGGAGACAAGGCGTCTCATGAAGAGACTGAGATATTTTAACAGCTGGGATCTCTGGATTTTTGCTCGTTTTGCCTCCCAGTCCCCTTTTGATCAAGGGGGCTACCAATGTTTCTGTCCAGGCGCCTGCTACGACGCCATGAACAACATGATCTGGACCTGCTCCAACGACTACATTGATCAGTGGTGCAACCCTGGGAACCAAGCCTTCCACTACATCTGCCAGAGGCTGGGAGTCAGCCATGTCATCTTGGAGCCACAAGGTGGGAGGCAAACGGTGCCGTCAGCGCTGGGAATAACAACCTGGCCCATTTCTTTGAAATGATTTCTGAACAACCCTCGGCGTCCCCTCTCTGTCTCCTGGGTCGGTGGTGATGGATCGTCTTTGCCAGGCGAATCTGAAAAGGACAGGATGCTTTTTTTGCAGGAGACGCCATAGCCACCAGCGAGGTTATCAATCAGCTACTGCACCACGTGGGCGCCATGTGCATCCATCAGCTCAACCTGCTGGCCGCCAGTAACAACATGCCGATCACAAATTTCCTGGCCAAGCAACACCCGATCGAAGCCCATCACCTCAGCAGCATTTGCGACATCATGGAGAAAGCCATGGTCAACGGCGACACCTGCATCATACGCTGCATCCTGGTGGTCTTTCAGGTATGTATTCCTGATCGAGGCACACCTTCCCTCACCTTAGGTGACCCCCGAGAGCTCCAGTCCTAACGGGTGGAGGAGGAGGAGGAGGCGGCTTCCCTGCCGTGTCTCGGTTGTGTCTTCTCTGAACTCAGTTATTTCCTTGCAGACGTTTCATTACTCAAACTAGGTAACACCGTCAGTGCCAGCCAGCCTGTTGTGTATTTTGGGAAGAAACGGGGCACCCCACCAGAGAGTTTTCATCCGCTGCCACTCCGTGGGCATTGCTGACTCCTTGATGGATCCAAGATGTGCTCTGGCTTGTTGCCTCTCCCAGCAAGAAGGCCGCAATTTAGAGCACAGCCTGAATGACGTTCTTGTTCAACCAGAAATGGGATGAAATCCAAGCCTGACCCTCTGTGGCAATATTTTTTCAAATATTGGCAACTTTCAGATAGGTGGGGCTTCAACTCCCAGGGTTCATGACTGGCTGGGGAATCCTTGAAGTCCAACCATCGTAAAGTTGTCAAGTTTGAAAAACGTCTGTGTTCTGTGGGGTAATCCTGCCTGTTTTTTGGGAGGTTCATAAGGAGCAGAATCGGAGCATTTGAACGTATCAACCTCTTGCCCTGTTTTCTTCAACTCTCCTCCGATGTTAGTCATTGGAACCAACCTGGTTATTTCAATAAATTCAGATAAGAGTGCAGATAAGCGGAGCGTGCATTGCTTCACTGGCTGCGCGTATATTTCTCCCTCCCATCTTGCATTGCAATGCTTGTCTTGCAGGTGGTTTTTAAATTTTTCTTCAGCCCCCAAACAGAGAAGAATCGGGAGATCGTCAGGCGATCCGGCCTTCTGCTTTGGCAGCTTCTCATGGCCCCAGTTGACCAGATCAGCCCTGAAATTCAGAAGGAGGTCTGCTTGGCCATTAGGTAGGTCACCTGGCCTCGTCTCAAAAGATCCCAAGGCCTCCCCGTCGATGGGTAAAGCTCGTCCCTCGTGAAATTCAGTAAAGAAAACCCCCAAAGCAGCTGCCGCTCTTTGCTTCGCTTACTAGGACGTGTGAGTGTGCTGTGCTGTTTACCAAGCTTCAGCCCATTTTTTTAAAAAAAACATATTCTTACTTTAACCAAACAAATGCTACAGATTTCCAGGCAGGTATCCATAATTCATGTGGCAGCAAATGATATTGCCAACAGTTCAAAGCATATGCTAGAGTAAAGTCAGTTTATCTTCAGTGCCCTTGTTGTGTGTTTTTGTGCAAATGCTGAGTGTCTCCTTTCTTTCCCTTTTTAAGTTCTGGTCTGAGCATCCTGTACCCTGGAGAAACAGAAATTAACAACCTACTGAAACTGGTCTTAACCGAAGGTAAGAGTTTTTAAGGTGCTGGAGTGCAAATTTGTACGTTAAAAACGCACAAACCAGAACATACAGTTTGCTGCACGCTTCAGGCCAAGGTGGTGTCCGCGAGACAGTTTTGCGGCACAATCCCAGGCCTCCCTACTTCCCTTCCTCCTTGAATTGGCCCATTCTAGGAGACAGGAACAGCGGCCTGGCCCAGCTTCGAGATGTGATCCTGACCAACATGGCTGAACAGCTCCAGAACAACCGATTTGGAAGTGAAGACGACGAGCACTGCAGGTAAACCTCCCCAGGCAGAGGCTGTGCATGCTGGTTGAATGACCTGGGGAGTTTGCCTCCTGGGCAACCGAGATGTGGGGGGGAGGCGAAGGCAGCTCTCACGGCCGATTTACCGGATGCGCTGCCGTTTGTCCTCGAGTCCGCGTGGCTTCCCTTCTAACCCTCCCTCCTCTGTCCCGTCTCTAAGGCTGAACGATGAACTTTTGCACTACATTCTCAAGATCGTGGTCCGAGAATCTTGTGTCTTAATCACCAAGTGCCAAATCGTCTCTCGAGATGAATTTCAGAGGCTTCTCTCCACTGTGCCTGTGAGTAACCGTGCCCCCCTCTCCACTGGCTCTCTTCGGGGGCTGCAGTGGGGAGAAGGAGGGGAAGGGGGACAGTTTCTCCTTTTGGGGAATTGAGAAGCCTCGACCGTCCCTGGGATTGGTGGCGGGAGTCTCTGTCAGTCTGGCTCTCCTCCTTCCCCGGTTCCGGGTCCAGGAGGTTAACATTTGAGGCTCTCAAGTTCATCGTTGTTTTTAACATAAATGGGATTACTCCACGCTAACTTGTCTTTCAGTTTGGTAAGGTCCAGGAACTTGCCATACGTCTCCCCCATGTTAGCTTGAATTAATGGGCCAACCTTTTCTGGCACTTCTTTGCCACGCTGTGACCCCCGCAGCTAGAGAAGGACGGGGCGTTTCCTTTGCGTTCTCCCCCGTTTGTGAGTGTGCCTGGGACCTCCGAGAGAGCCTGCTGCCTTGGCTGCTTTGCAAGGCGGTGGGGCCACGAGGGAAACCCCCCCATGTCCCCGTTTGTCTTGAAGGCCGCCTCTGCCTGCCTGCGGTACCTGATGGCTGTACAGAACCACCTTCTGAGTAATACCGTTTTGATTAAGCCCGACGAAAGCGATGACAGTGACAGCTCCTTGCAGGGAGAGACCTTGAAGGTACAGGTAAACACCAAGTCCGAAACTCCACTGCCCTCGCTTTCTCCTGACCCCGGTGCTGCCGCGGCTCCAGCCAACGGGTATGGCCCTCTCCGTGCTCACCGTCTCTGGTCGTGGTCCTGTGACTGGGTGCTTCGGCTCTTCCCTCGACTCGGAGCAGCCCCGGCTAAAAGCTTTCCTGCAGAATCCTTGCCTGGGGCCAACGTGGGTTTCCAGCCACCCCAGATCTTCCTTCAGCTTAGAAAACTTGTCCCGGGGGGGGGGGGGGGGGGGGGAAGCCAGGGGGAAACGCTTTGTAGTTTACAGCTGGGGGGGGGGGGGGTGGGGGGCCCCCCCCCCCCCAGAAGAGTTCTGTGCTCACCTTTGCTAGCTTCTCTCAGCCCTGTCTGGAAAAGGTCCCCTTCAGGTCCCTGGCTACCTCCCTCAGGTGCTCGGCCTGTTTTCCTCCAATTCAGCCGGTCAAAGCAGAGTTCCTGAATTCTTTCCATGCACTTCAGGAAATGCTAATGCTCTCCAAAAGATGGTTTCCCCCCCCGCCTGGTTGGGCTTTGTCTCTGTTGTCTGAACCGTTTAAGATGAGGGACGGGTTTGGCTTGGTCCATTGGGCCGGGGTCATTTCTGTCTGTCTCCTTCTTGCTGTTCAGGAAGGTTATTAGCGGGTCATCCTTTGTCCTCACTCGGATATGTCCGTCACTGTCTGGAGTAAATGCTAAATGTGTCCACGCCACGTCTCATCCAGCCACGCCCATTATTTCGTTTCTGTTTTGTTGTCTTCCGTTCCTCTGTGCAGTTGCTCTCATCCTCTCTTCCCTTCTAGGACGGTTTCGTTCCTTGTCCGGCCCAAAAGGCAGGCTGGATTAATCCTTCTGATAAGTACCGGCAGAGTTGCTCCCGGCCTGCTTAGCATCCCGCTGCCCTATCAGCTGGCTGGAATTTCCTCCGGTTTCCCAAAAGACAAAACTTTCTTGGCAGCCAAGGCAGAAAAGGGAGCTGCGCCCGTGAATCAGGAAAATGGGGGTAGTTAGGCCGAAGGATCTCGGTTAGATTCTAGAGCAGATTTTTCAGGGAAAGGCCAGTCTGAAGAATCTTCGTGTTGGGAAGTTGTGGTTTAGAGAAGCACTAATTGATTCTCCAGTGAAACGTGTGATTAAATTCAGCTTCCCCACCCTGGTGCCTTCCAGACAAGACCGGGAAACCCACATTAACACCTGGGCCAATGTGGCGGATCTCCCAGCCTCTTGCTGAATCTCTGGATATCAGCTTTTCTGCCTCAATTGGACCCATGTAGGAAGGTTAATTTGTGGCCTGGTAAGAAACGTGGCCTTTGAATTAAGTGGCCTCCAGAATCCATGAAGCGCTCAAGTAGTTTAACAATGAGGATTCATTACATGCAAGGCCTCGGTGGCGAAGTGATTAGAATGCAGGTGGATTCTGCTGACTGCCGGCTGCCAGCAGTTCGATTCTCACTGGCTCAAGGTTGACTCGACCTTCCACCCTTCCGAGGTCGGTAAAATGAGGACCCAGATTGTTGGGGGCAGGAGGCTGACTCTGTAAACCGCTTAGAGAGGGCTAGGAAGCGGTATATAAGTCAAAGGGCTATTGCTATTGTTCTTGCGGACAGAGGTGGAGTGATAGGAGCGTAGTGGCATTTCTTTGGTTCAACCTGTCCTGCCACGCCTGCCCCGGGTTGTTGATCCACCACAAAAGAGTCCCGAGTGGGGAGGGTGGGCTGGTAGACCCCCCCACAGGCCCCGCTGCTCCTCAGACCTCGCCTGGCTTGTTATCACGCTCATCCCATTAACTCTGGAAGCCCGTCTTTCTTTCGCATGAGCCTCCGTGTTGGATTTAGAAGCGGAGTTTTCACGGGGGGCCGCCAGGACGCAGCTCTGAAACTTGGCTTGTCTCCCTGGTAGGAGCTCAAGACCAGCATCTTGGCTCTGGCCATGCAGATCCTCACGGGGTGCGATGAAGTCCTGGAGAAGCTGCAGCAGGTCACCACCGCCCTGATCAACAGCGACATCCCAGACAGGGAGCAGAGGTCAGGCCTTTTGTTCCGGAAAGACGCCCTCTGTCCCTCCCTCTCGAAGCTGCTTCCAGAAAGAGGCCAAAAGACCCCCGGGAAAATGCCCTCCCAGCTGAAGGGATGGGTCCAGGGGTGGCGAACCCATAGCTAATTTTATGGCTGTTTTATGGCCGGTTCGGTGAAGCGACCAATCCCACCCTGGCTGGCCCTGTCCACCCCACCCCACCCCGGCGTCCTCATTTGGATGCCAGAGAAGTGCAGGGTCTGGGTGGAGCTCGGGAAGGGTGAAAAACAAGCCCCCCACAGGCTCCAGGAGGCCCTTCGGAGCCCGGGAAGGCCATTTTCGCAGCCTGGGGAAGGCGAAAACACCCCCTCACACCCCCATAGTGCAGGAAGCCGACCAGGCCACGCCCACCCAGCAACCGGGGAGAGAAGCCCACCCCTGGATGTGTCCTTCAGGGAGGAGGTGAGATGGGAGAGCGCCTGGACGCGTCCAACCGCAGCTAGCACAGAGTCGTCCAAGCTAGCAGCCATTTCAGAAGACTCGGCCCCACGGTCCCACTCTGAGATTCGAGGGGGGAGGACCTGGGGCTGAGGGGAGGTTCCTTGAGGGAAGGTCCCTCCCCGGCCCACTCTCCCAAGGCCCAGTTGTGGTGGTGATGATGGGGAACTCTCCTTGCAGGTTGAAAGGCCTGGAGCAGGTGACCAAAGCCACCATCCTGGGCCACCTGCTTCCAGTGCTGCTGACCTCCCTGATGCACCCAAATCTCCAGACGCTGATGGTGGCCGATCCGCTCATGCCTCAGCTGGTGCAGCTGGTCCTCTACACCAGCCAGGTAGCGTCTGCTTTTCTCCCCTCCCCCCCACCTTTGGCTTGGAGTTGGCCCTAGACTCCCCCCCCCTCGTGCCTTGTGACCCACTGGCCCTGGTGTTGTGTTGCAGACGGCCTTGTTGCTGAAAACGCAGTCTCCGGTTTTCTCAGACGTCAGCGGTTCTCCTGCAGGGGCCTCTGAACCGAGGAGCAAGCTCTTCCCCGACGAGAGGTGAGTGGCTGAAGCATCAGAGTATTCCCTGGGTTGGTTCTTTCTTTCTTTCTTTCTTTCTTTCTTTCTTTCTTTCTTTCTTTCTTTCTCTCTCTCTCTCTCTCTCTCTCTCTCTCTCTCTCTCTCTCTCTCTCTCTCTCCCTCTCTTGTTTGTGCCCAGTGTCATGCGGTGACAGCAATGCCAGTATTTGGCATCCACAATTCCTTTCAATCTGTCCTACAAAGTTACTCCTTTGGCAGCTTCTCCTTTTTCACATTTCATGCCAGAATGCTGGAAGAGAAAGAAGAGCCGGGGTTCCTCACCGGCTTGAAAATCCCGGCTCCTTGGGCTGCTGGCAAGACGGTGGAGACCGTTCACCCCGTCAGGGATAACTACAAGTTTAAGGAGACGGTGCACATCCCAGGAGCCCGTTGCTTGTACCTGAGGTTCGACAGCCGATGCTCCTCCCAGTACGATTACGATAAGGTCAGTTGGGGCCAGACCATAAACTCCACCCTGGGTGCTGGGGCCTGTGAAGAGAGACGGAGCCGCCTCGAAGCCCTTCTGGCTTGGGAGAAGTTTCCCTTGGTGCGCTCTCTAGGATGCCTGCACAAGATTTGCACGCTCCCCTCGGAGAAGCTCTTCAGCACAGGCTTCCATTTGCCCTCACGCCACTGGCTTCTGTCTGTTGTGCTTCTGCTGCAGCTGGTGATCTACGCCGGGCCCAACACGAACAGTCGGAAGGTTGCCGAATACGGAGGCAACATCTTAGGATACGGCAGCCGGAGCGTCTTGGGGACCGGGTGGCCGAAAGATTTAGTAAAGGTACCAAAGAGCACTTTCCCGCCCCTGCCGGTGGAATTCCAAGGTTTACCTAATTGTACATGTTTTAATGGCAGCTAGAATGGTATTTGCCCAAAATTGGAAAAATGATATGATACCGATAGAGGGAAAAATAACTGAACAAATATTCGAACGTGCAGAAATGAATAGATTGACACTAGAAATCAAAGAAAAAGAAGAATCTGAATATTATATCGTATGGGATCTGCTTTATCAATGGATAGAAAATAGAACAAATTAAAAGGGATTGGATGTATTTATGGAGTAATCAGAGAAATTAATGTAATAGAGTTGATATTATTATTTACACAGGAATGTGATTATTGTTGTATTGTTAGATTGGATAAGAAAAACACTATTAATAATGGCTAAATAATTGAAATATGTGCCTAATCGATGAACGATTGAAACGGAATGGATTTGTTCTATATAAAAAACAATTTACAAAATTTACAAAAAAGAAAAAAAATATAAATTTCGACTCAAAGAAAAAAAGAAGCCACTTACTCCTATAACTGTACAAAAAATAGATTTCCTGGATCACGGGCATAATCCGCAGAGGGAGAACGCCGTTTCCAGATTTCCTTCTGTATCTTGCAATAATAATAAAACGTGGAGGCTCAGCTTCCGCTTGCTTGTTCAGTGGCTTCTCTTCTCATCCAAACTGTCAGGTGGAAGGGGACACCGTCACCTTCTCCTTCGAAATGCGGAGTGGCCGAGAACACAACACCCCCGATAAAGCCATGTGGGGCTTTGCCTGCACGGTCCGGGCACAGGTATGGGCTGGGCTTCAGCTGGGGGAGTAACTAAAATCCAACTCAATCCTGACGGCGTCCGAACATGGCTTCGTCATTCTTCCAGTTACAAGGGGTGGCGTGCAGGTGGGGAGGCTGAGCACCAGGCTGTACTTAAGGAGGCAGGTCAGCGTTAATTCACCGCTCCCGGATGGAGAGAGGTCCGTGTATTCGCCTTGTCAGTGTGGAGGCGCAACTCCTTCCAACTTCCTTGCCTGAGAGCTGCCTCTTTACAGATTTGTGCTCTGCTGGGTTGGCTCTCTCGGTGCTAGCGACTTTTATCGTGATTCATATTCAGGCGCCAGGTGGGCGCGTGCAGGCTCAACGGGGTGCAGGCAGCCGCCGTCACTCTCCCTCTGTGTTCTCTCTCTGCTTCCCCTCGGCTTCCCAGGAATCCTCGGAAGACGTCTCGGGCGGATTGCCCTTCCTGGTGGACCTGGCCTTGGGCTTGTCCGTCCTGGCCTGCTCCATGCTGAGGATCCTGTACAACGGGCCCGAGATCACCAAGGACGAGGAAACGTGTCAAGAGCTGCTGCGGTCCAAACTCTTGCAGAGGTAGGAAGCCCGGAGTGGGACGGAAGGGGGAGGCCAGCCGCCTCCTATCCACAGCGGAGGGTTCCAGGAAAGGAAGCCGGGTGTGTCACAGTGTGAGTGGCCGCGCCGCCCCCCCTTGCTGCTTCCTGAGGCAAGAAGCCAACAAGCCACTTTCCTTGTTTCAGATGCCAGTGGCAAGTGGAAGCCAACGGGGTGATCTCCCCAGCCCTCACGCCCAGCCCTTCCCCGCTGCCTCTCACCATTGAGGAAGACCAGGAGTTCACGTACCCATCGGACGTCCTTGTCCCACCTGTGGGTCACTATTTCGACCTGCCCCGAATCCGACTCCCGCCCGGAATCATGATCAAGCTCCGGGAAATATCTGGCCGTGCCCGCCCTCAGTTTCGGCCCAGCATCAGGTGGGTGGGTGAACTTCTTTTGGTCACCTTTGCTTTCTCCACATCTGCAGCTGGAGAAAACGCCTGCAGCCTCGCTCAGGTATTTGTCAGGAGGTCAAAACGTTGGTCGAATGTTGATTTTTTGGGGGGGGGGGGGGTTCGCCCTCAACAGAGAGGTGATCCAGCCGGACGTGATGGAGGAAATGGTGGTTTCGTGCGTGATCAAGCACTTGAACCTCGTCGACGCGCTCCAGTCTCTCATCAACTTCCAGTATCAGGAGGAGCACGCCGAGGAATACGACCTGCTTTGCAAAATCATGGGAGAAACCTTCAAGAAACTGAACGCCATGGAAAGACAACTGCAGGTAACGCCTGCCGTGCCAATCCGGTGGCTGCTTTCGGCTGCAGGCCCCGGAGGCTCACGGCGGGCTGGGCGTGAATTATTTTTTCCTGAACTCTTCCCGAGGGAAGGAGGGCTCCAGCTTTTTCATGGCTTTTCTTCCCTCCCTTTTTTGGCCAGAGTGTGGCTGAACTGGAGCAGAAATGGCAAAGCGAGGTGGAAGACGCCATGCATGGGAAGCTGGAAAATAACGTGCCTTTCTTCTACGATTATCACTTCAATGAGGTAAAGGCCAAGGACCTCAGATTACGCTGGGCTGGTTTGGGGTTGGCTTCTTCCCTTTCTCTCAATTCCTGTGAAATGCTGAGCTGTATTTTTCACTGCTCCTGGGCAAACCACGTGCAGCTTTAAAACTGGCTGCCTGATCCTCTGTGGGAAATAAGGTCTCTGCTGTTGGTCCTGGGAACGGCTGGCTTCTCCAAGCGCGTCTGCCAGCGAACGAGGCCTCCGGAGGGTCAGTCTTTGGGGGTTATAAGCCAAACTGGAATGTCACCCAGAGCATCTCTCCGTGTTTTAGTTCTTCCAGATATCTGGAAAAGGGTCTCAGTCTGGAGCAGGGAGCAGGTTGTGTGGAAATAGAAGCCCTCCTTCGGCAGAAACCTTGGGAATTCTTGCAAAGAAGAACCCAAAGACGCATATAAATTAAATCGCGCGAAAGAATAGATTATGGGCTTCCGGTGAAGCCTCTGAGAGGCTCCCCCGCAGGGCAGGAAGGCAGTGGCCCCCTTCCAAGGGTTCTCCTTGGACCCCTGAGCCTTGGGGAGAGACTGTGTCTGAATGTGGAGAGGCAGCTTTCACCCCACGAAGGATCGGACCTTCTTTCAGGAAGAGAAATGAACTCCTCGGGTCCCCTTTTCCCACATGTTTCCTTCTCCCCCCACTTCCCTTCCTTTCAGAGCAAAATGAAAGAGTTGGAACTTCTGTGCTCAATGAAGGAGATTTCTTTTGATGGAGGAGATCCCGAGAACATGGTCCTTTCGCTGAGGTTGGTGCCACTCTTGCAGTCTTGTGGTGGGAAGCCTGTTGCCCACCTCTGCTCCTTCCTGGTTGGCGAAGGGGGCGATGTGTGTGGGGGTTGCTCCCCAGCCCCGGAAGCCGAGCCTGTCCCCGACCCTTCGCCTCGTTCTGGAGCTAGAAGGAGTCTACCAACCTGCCTGTCTCTGGGCTTCCCCCTTCCCGGCTCTTTAGGGAGAAATTCTTCCAGGAGGTGAACTCGGTGGTCCAGAAGCCTTCCCATCCCATGGCGAAGACCAAAGTCCTGGTCAAGAGCCTGATGAACCGAGCAGAGCTGCTCCTGCACGTCACCATCGCTGCCCAGTCGGGCCTCACCCGGAGCATCTCCGGGACCCCGGCAGAGACGCCAGGTAAGGAGGGAGGGGAGGGGCCAGGCTGGCCTTCTCCGAAGCGCTCACCTTTGAGCGCCTTCCTGCACAGCCAAGATCGAGAAAGGCTCCCCTCCCTTCCTGGATCCTTTGTGGGTTTTCTGTCCACGAAGGGCTCAGCCCTCTTTCTGCTCCTTAACGTGCAGCGTGCAAGTCAGCCTCGGAAACCAAGGTCATCTCCCACGCGGTTCGCCAGCCAGTCTTCCTCCGCAGCATGTCGGCACCCTCGGATCTGGAGATGATCGCAAACGAAGACCTGGAGTTCACCCGGTCCAGCCAGAGGTCGGCATCCCCATCTCTGGGACGAACGTCCAGGCTGTTGGCTGGTCCCACTGATCTCCCCTCTCGTGTCTCTCCACGCAGGCGGCGCCACGTTCCCAGCCACAGGAGCAGCTCCTTCACCCTCCTGCAGTCGCTGGCCATCGATGACAGCCGGGACAAGCCCACCTACAGCGTCCTGCTAGGACAGCTCTTTGCCTTCATCGGAACCAATCCTGAGCAAGCGGTAAGGCCCGCCTCTTGGGCTTATCCAATCCAAGGGCAGCGGCCTCACTTGGCCAGGCACACTTCAGTTCTCCAGTAAACCTCACCAAACAGAAACCTTTATAAGCAGCAGGAGAAAAAGCCAACAGCCTCTGTTATCTGTTAATATTTAAAGTCCCATCAGGCTCTTTAAAAGCTCATTTGAGTTATTAAAATAATATAAATCGCTAACTCAAATCAATACTATCTAATTATTTAAATAGCTTGTCATTTAGGAGGTTGGAATGTCTAAGAATGTTCTAAAATGTGTTTTTGTTCTGGCCACAGTGGGAGTCCCTGTTCTTTTTTTTCTTTTTTTTTAAACTCAGTGAACTTCCCTTCGGGGGAAAGGTTACACCCTGAGCCCTCTCAAGCGAGTCGGTCAGTGGCCCCTGCAGTCCACTCATCCTGCCCCCCTATTCTCCTAGGTGTCCAGCAGCGGCTTCCTGTTGGCCGCTCAGACGCGATGGCGGCGTGGAAACACCCGGAAGCAGGCTCTGGTGCACATGAGGGAGCTGCTGACGGCTGCGGTCCGTGTGGGCGGAGTGACGCACCTGGTGGGCCCAGTCACGATGGTGCTCCAGGGAGGCCCACGGTCAGTCCCTGCTTTCCTTGGCAAAGCTCCTGAAAGCAGCCCTCTAAAAAGCGGTCCTCCGCGAACTTGGTAGCTTGCAGAGAGCTGCACTTCGACTCCCAGAATTCCCCAGCCAGCAATGGTCCAGACCTCTTATCCCCCCTCCACCCAGGAGTGGGATTCAATTCTTTTAACAACCGGTTCTGTGGGCGTGGCTTAGTTGGTAGGCATGGCTTGGTGGCCATGTGACTGGGTAGACATGGCCAACTCAACATCACTCACATCAAGGCATGCATCTCCTCCCCTGGCCTCTCATGACTGTGGGGATGCTGCTACAGTCATAAGTGTGAAAAATGGTCATAAGTCACATTTTTCAGTGCCATTGTAACTTTGAATGGTCACTTCACACAAGCAAAGTACCAGCAAAGGAG